GCGCGGGCGCTCGCCCCGGGGCCCCGCGCGATCCTCCCCGCCCCCCAGCGCATGGCGGTCGAGCGGACAAAGGCGCTTCCTGGCGCCCGCGCTCGGAGGCCGTTGGCGGTTTGAATCCGGCCCCCGGGGGTCCAGCGTCCGCTCTCCCCGCAGGAACCACACCGCCCACACCCCCGCTCCACCCTCCCCCCGAGCGGCCACCGACTCCTCAGACGAAAGCCCCGGGCACAGGGGTGGGGGCCACCTGCGACACAACCGCCGTGGGACCCCCGGTCGTCCTCTGCGCCGTCCCTCGGGCAGAAACGACCCTCGAGGGCGCCGGGGAGCCCAGCTCCCATTTTTCGGTCGGCTCACTTCGCCCTCTTTCCCCACGGGCCGGGCGCGAGCTGCGCAGCTACGCACTCACCATGCTGCAAGGGCTACCGGTTTCCGAGACGCGACCGTACAACCGTTCACCTCGCTCGCTCCACTCGGACTAATTCTCCTCCTCCGCCCCCAGCGCTTCATAAACACCTCCCTCCGCCAGATCCCTCCGCCGCATGCCAGATAACGGAACAGCGAGAACGAGTCCCGGCCGGCCCCCTCCCCGCCAGCGCTCCCGGAGACCCCTTTCTCCACAGTCAGTGACCGGCCGGGCTAGCGCTGAAGGGGAGTCGGGAGCGAGTGACGTAAGTGGGTTTCATGCCCAGACAAGCCGTGTAAGGGCCGGTGGAAGCTCGCCCGGGAGGCGCTACTTTGCGGCGCGGAGGAGCATCGCGGCGGGGACGCGTGCTGCGAGAAGTCATGGAGCCGGCCTCTGATTGGCTGGTTCGTACCTGCAATGCGTCACTCGGTCCGCAGCCGTCGCCGGAACGCGGTACGGTTTCTACCGTTGCTACTCCGACCGCGCTGTCCTGGCAACTGCGCCAAGAGGCAGAGTGGCTCGCTTTGCGCTAAGCTGGAGGACCTTCCTCCTCCACCCAGCCACCCTCACACACCTTCCAAGGCCCCTGCGTGCTGGGTTGACAGAAAAACCTAATCCAATAAAAAGTGAAGCTGAACCCCCCCCCCCCAAATAAACACGTACCCCGCACCCAGGGCGGCGGAGGCCACTCATTCAGTGTTTTACCGAACCCATGCAACTGTGGATAAGGGCAAATGCAGCGGCTCAGCTGACAGACTAATCAGAAAGGGTCTTCCGTTTATACTTCTTTGCTTCCCTCGCCCAGCAGTAATTTAGCAGAAAAAAAGTTACTCGAAATCCACGCCATCTGAGATTATGTGCTAGTGGTCCCCTGGTAACCCCTTCGATGTTGGAAGCCTTAGACAGCCAGGGAAGGATGCGGAAAATTAAAAGAGGAACTAGGGTTAATACTCAAAATGCGGAGACACAGCCCAGAAAGAATCCTCTGAAGACCACGTTGACATAGCCAGAAGGAACTTCCCAATAAAAACCACAGTGGACCCTTGAAACCTGGGGAACAGCAGTTTTAAAAGCAGGCTGAAATCTCGCCGTACTGAAAAAGAAGGCTCTTCAGAGGAGCTTCCTGCAGTAAGAGCATTATCGATGCTAACAGCTACCTGCACCCACTTCGGTTGAATTTAACCACCTTTAGCCAAATTGGACATTTCTTCGACATTAAAAAAAATTTTTTTAATGAAGCCAGAGCTGGGTCCTCTTTCAATCATGCAAAGCAGACATTAAGAGACCTTCTAATTAGCATTGACAAACCTGTGACCTTTTCAGATGAATGGCCGGCAATGAAAAAACAAAATGAGATTTCTGTTTCTATTGTCCTTGCTAATGTAGTGCTGTAATGATGGTGGAAGGGAGATTTAATTAACCTTATCTTACAAATGAAATAAATACCAAATCAGAACGTTACTTTAAAGTGAGCATCTCTGCTTCCGAATCCAAGGCCACCATCCCATTATACTGCATTCTGGTAACTTCCAAATCTTTCCAAGGTATGCATCAAAAATTTGTCCCTGATTCCTCCTCAGATCCTTAGATGGAAGACCGATTAATGGTCGTTTTTTTCTTCAGCTGAATCACTAAAAATATTCTCCCTTTACACAGCACTCCATTAACATGCAGTGATTTTACATATGAAATTTTTAATGATGGGAAATTGAATGACAAAATGAATAATCACCTCCTCTAGAAAATGAATTTTTAAAAGGATTGATGCATAACACACAATAGTGAATTTAAGTCTAATATACAGAAGGGTGCTTAAAGAAATATGATTGTACTGACTTTTTTAAGCAAGTATTTGGGAAAAAATGTTTTTAAAACAGAGATAGAAAAGTTCTTCCTTGTTTCTTAGGATGAATTTTGGTGAAACCCTTTCTTACAGAACATTGTTGACCTCTCAAGAAGAAAAAGAACACAAAAGTCAGGAGTTACATTTAAAGCCATTGTGGTTTATGCGTATTTGAGATTGTTCCAAGCCAATTTATTTATAGAACATTTGTCTTCTGAAACATGACATACAGTGCTGCCTAACTCTGGCTGATGCCAGCTGAGAAGCTAAGTTAGTGATGACCACCATGTCAGAGCCTAGGAAGTATCTTTCCATTTTGTGGCCCGTTCCCACAGTGAGATCTCACAGTTGTCTGCTTTTCCCCATCTTGGGAAGATGAGAATGTACTTCCTCCCTAAGCCTGTTCCTCATTTGTAGAACTGAGATAACTTAAGTCTTATCTTTTGGCAACTTCCTTTCTGTAGCTTCCTTTCTCTAGCCAGATCTGCTAATGAACAAGGGCAGAGACAATCATAGTGACATTCTTGACTACAGGACCTGTGGTTTTCTCAACAAGTAAAAAAATTGGGCCCTAAATGTTCCAAGGTATCAATCAAATATAATGAATCAACTTCTATGCATCTAGAATGTGTACTGGCTATATAACAACCGTGAGAGGATTGGGAAGATAGGACTGAAATCATCTTCTGTGGTTCAAATAAGGAGCCCTGGTTGGAAAAGTTAAGCTATTCTTCCTTCAGGATTATGAGGCAAAACAGAGTTGGGATAATGTGTTAGCTTTCTATCACTGTCACAAACTACCTCAATTCAAAAGGAAGAAAGAGCTATGACTCATGGATTCTGGGGTTTCAGCTCGTCACTTGGCTCTTGTTGCTGGGCATTTGGTGAGGTGGAATGTCATGGAAGGGCGCATAAGGTGGAGGAAAGCTGCTTCTCAGCAGCCAAGAAGCAAAGAGAACTTGCTTGTAGTACGATCAAGCCTCTCACACAAAACCCATTAAGCCATGAAGCCTAAATGAACTAATCCATTCATGAGGTCAGAACCCTCACGATCCAATCACCCCCAAAAGGTCCCAACTCTGAGCACTGCTGCATTGGGTACCAAGCCTTCCACCCATGAGCTGTCAGAGAACATTTAAGATCCAGCCCAGGGCTGGAAAGATGTCTCAGAGGTTGAGTGCTTGCTGCTCTTTCAAGAGGTTCAGAGTTCAGTTCCCAGTACCCATGTCTGGTGGCTCATAACCACCTATAACTTAAGTCCAGGCAAGCCAATGCCTCCTTCTGACCTCTGTGGGCACCTGCACGCACGCATGCAAACACACACACACACACACACACACACACACACACACACACACACACAACCTTTTTAAAAAATCCAAACAGGCAGGATCCAACCAGGTAGTATTTTACCTATTGAATTTGCAGCCCAATAAGATTGAAGAACATAGGAAAAGAACCAAGCATAGAGTTATCCTGAAGGACTTGGACTCATATACACATGGAAAAAGGTGAGGGCCTTCAGTTTTAATACTGACATACTGCTATTCATTTATTTGCCTATCAAAAAATTTTGATATTTTTAGTTTAGAATGACCAGACAACCAACTAGATTACCTAAAATTGATGGATTTCCTGAGATGCTGGACATTCAGTATTAAAACCAGTTCCAGGAAAATCAGGGCTAAAAAGCCATGACCAGTCATTCAATAAATACCAGTGACCTACTACGTGCTCCCAGTGCTCTATGATAAAAGTGAGCATGGGAGACCATGGAAGCACATGGAGGGCAACCTAACAGGCAAGGGGAGCATGTCTGAGATAGAGTCACCATAGCATCTTAGTGAATTTTCTGTTGATAGAACAAATATTTAAGTAACACAAGGAATGAAGGTATTTGGTGTACACTTCTGGAGGCTGAGAGGTCCAAGAACATAATTCCAGTGCTCAGCTTGATACCTGCCAAGGGCCTTCTTGCTCCATCATAACATGGTGGAGGGTTTCACATAGTTATACAGACCAAACGTGCTACTTTGGGTCTGTCTGCCTTTTTATAAAGCCACTAAAGCCATCATGATCTGGTCTAAAAGGTTACTTCCCAAAGACCCTACATCCAAATACTAGTAACATGGAATTGGGGTTTACATTTCTACACATGATCTTCTAGGGACACATCTAAACCACAGCACCCAGGAATCTGAGTAGAGGTAGAATAGGAGAACAGGGATGCTTGAGACCAAATGAAGAAAGGCAAAGGAACAGAGACATGAGACACGATCCTCACTGCAACATCCTCAGCAGCTGTACATCCCTAGGAAAGGGGACTGAGGAGGAAGCCTGCCATTTGGCCATTTGAGCAGGGACTTCTCTAGTCCTGGGAAACTGCAGCAGTCTAGAAGATGTGTATGGTAGAACTAGGGGTATGATCTGGGTGGGGAAGTCCTGCTTGGTCCTGGGGGGCATAGCTAGAGGAGGGTCAGAGCAGGACTGTCAAAAGGGAGGCTAAGGGAGGCCCTGTCTTGACTGGGTTCTAGGAAGTCCTGAAAATGCTGCTGGCATCTCTTCCTGGGGCTTAAAATACTGGACTTGTCATCTCTTTACTCTCGTCTTGCTATTCTAGTTTTTCACTAGCTCTTCCTCCTTCTTCGTGTCACCCACATCACCTTTATGGCATCTGGATGTGCTATGCCTTTCCCACTTCCATGTCTTTGCTGGTGTTGCTTCCTTTTCCCTTCCTTACTGGACCCCGGCTCATGTCTGGCCTAAAGCTTATATCCCTGCAGTTGTCTAAATTCACTAGCCCCTCTCCATTGGCCCAAAGAGAAATAATCACTGTCTCTCAAAATATCTTTTAAATGTTGTATGGATGAGAGATGAGGAAGAGATCTTAAAGTGGGTGAGGGTATGGGAAGAAGGGACAGAAAAAGAGAGAGTAATGAAATCATATTACATGAAAGCAAAAGGCAAGACTTTTGGGGACAGGAAGGGAACCAGCAAGAAAAAGGCAGGGAAAATGGGGGAGAGCAGTGGAGGAGGAGGAATAAGAAAAGAGTGTGATGTATATGTATGAAAATGCCATATGAGGGGGCTGGAGAGATAGCTCAGTGGTTAAGAGCACTGGCTGCTCTTGCAGAGGACCTGGGTTCAGTTCCCAGCACCCACATGGTGACTAACAACCATCCGCAACTCCAGTTCCAGGGGGTCTGATGCCTTCTTCTGACTTCCACCAGCATTACACAACATGGGTGCACTTACATACATGCCAGCATAGTACTCATAAAATAAAAAAAATATTTTTTAAAAAATA